TCGGGATTTTCTCGTATGGACGCACAGCAGCTAACGGTTAGCAGGATCCGGATCCTGCTAACCATTAGCAGCCGTGTGAGAACATAGCCATTGACATCTGGTTCATGTGGGAAACACAAGTGTCAAGGATGAAATATCCATAGAATTCTACGGTACGTTGACTAAATCAAACTATCTACCCTTCAGCTGTGTGAAAAATACAGCACCCTTTTTTTTCCTTTTTTTAATTTTTTATTCAATATAATTCATACATACATATAGAGCACCTGGGTTTTGAAAATCACTTGGCTTAAATCTAGTAAAATCCCAAATACTGTGGCAGTGCTGTCTGCTAGGAGGTATTCTGTGTTGCTTTGAACTTTAACACTACTTTTATGACTGTAGTAGTAATTATGTGTGTAAAACTATAATTACACTATTAGCTTAAATTTCTCCCTCCCCCAATTAATTGCCATTTTCTAATAAATTTCTATATAAATGTATGTTTGTGAATATTACTATATATAGTGTAACTAAATCTTTGTAATAGTTGTTCAGTTCTAATTGTTGATGGTTGATTAGATTAATAATTGATATGATTTATATAGCCCCTTCCTACAAAATGAACAAGACGCTGAATCTCAACAAATGCAGCAAATGAGAAATGAATTTAAATAATTGCAGAGTCAAAGCCAGAAGCTCTTTGACAGCCGGCCTCCGCTCCATCATCATCTTTCTTTACTCTGCAGAACCTCTTTTGAGCCTACTCTGACAGATGTACAATTTATTTGATCAAATGTCAGACACAAATTAACTCTTAGTCTGATCCGACATTGGGCCCGTTCGGATGAGTAAAATTTTACCGGGTGCTTCCAACTGAGAGGCCAGGTGTGGCTTGATGAAGTGAGGCTGCTGGCGTGCTGATTGTCATTGAAAATTATCTGTTGCTCGTGCCTCGTTAACTTGCATTCTCCAAGGAATTGTGTCTGGTATGGTAGGTGCAGTGTGTGCTCCTAAAAATAGTGCAATAAACAATACCGCAAATGCTTGAATAAGCGTTGCACCAAACCTGATTTTTTTTCAGCTAAGCACTGCAGCACTTAATTGAGAGTACAGTCATATATTACCCTGTACAGTATGTAATGAAACACTTTTTTTAAAGCCTGATCTGCCCAGCTATGTTTGCACCTCGAGATGCCCAGGAGCAGTGGCGGACCGTCAAGGCAAGGAAGGTATGCAGTGCATACCCTGGCTAAAACAAATAAGAAAATATAGTAGTACAGTTTCTGCATTTGATTTAGCATTTCTTAGCCACAATCTTCTATATAAACCTTAATTCTTTCGAGTGGATTGCTGTAGTTTATTGGAAAAGCAAAGTTTTTCAATGTTTGGCCTATTTTGGTATCTAGGATAAGGAACGTTGACGCCTGCAAGGCTCTGGTTTAAAGCCTGATCTGCCAGCTATGTTTGCACCTCGGGATGCCCAGGAGCAGTGGCGGACCGTCAAGGCAAGGAAGGTATGCAGTGCATACCCTGGCTAAAACAAATAAGAAAATATAGCAGTACAGTTTCTGCATTTGATTTAGCATTTCTTAGCCACAATCTTCTATATAAACCTTAATTCTTTCAAGTGGATTGCTGTAGTTTATTGGAAAAGCAAAGTTTTTCAATGTTTGGCCTATTTTGGTATCTAGGATAAGTCACATTCGGGCCTATCGCATCATACTTTCAGCTGCTTAGAATTTCCGCATGGCTGGTTTTCAATATCAACCAATCACGTATTCAGTGAGTCAATGGAATTCAGATATACTCTTTGATACCCTACAACACTTAAATTTGCTATTGTGACAACCGTGTGGTGGCGTCAGAATAGCTAATTTAACGCTGGAATGGAAGCGCTGCTTCCAAGAGTATGTGCGCATGCTCTTCTTCTCGCAAATCAGGACATTCACTGCCGATCGGGTATTCTATCTACATGCCTAATCTCAATGATTAAAGTTTAGATTAAATTTGCATGCATAATAACCGGTATAGAAGAAACTTTGAATTATTATTATTCGAATTGAAATATGTTAAAATAGTGGAATAGGAATTATTTTGAAAAGAAGATACTACAACCATGCTGGTATTAAAAATAACATACATTTGTATTTTGGCTATGCGCAATCTGATCCTGTATAGTAGTAGGCCTACAAACTTTTCCTACTAGCAGGCCCTAGCATCAGTGGTGTTGGGGGTGGGGGGCCTTGAAAAAGGGAGCTGATGTGGTGGGAAGGTAAAGTGGGATCGGTGATTAGGTGAGGAGGATAACTCGCAAAATAATGTGATTTGAGGTGATTTTTAACTACTTGAGCATGATTACTAATTAAAATGACCATTTGATCAATTCATTCACTACCACAAAGTCATCATTAGAATTATAATTTTGGAATTATTACAAAGAGTATTTGTTTTGGGTGTTTTATACACTAACAATCCATATCATGGCCGGCGGAAGCGGGGGGGCCGGGGGGCCCGGGCCCCCCCACTTTTTGGCCAAAAATATATGTCTGGAGATTTTTGTATGATCGGAAATGCAAAAAAAGGAGGGAAGGAGGAGAAGGATGGGAAAGAGAATGTGACCGAGTCACATTTTAGGGAGTTTTGATCAATTCCGACGAAATTAGAATTTAGAACAAAAAAATTTTTCGCGCGTTTCGCGCGCATTTTTTAATGTTAAAGCTTGTGCTTGCTCTCCTTTGCCTTCTAAGTTATAACACATAGTCCCAAAACTCAAGAAAGAAAATTTAAGATAGATCGTTTTACCTAAAAGAAGGGCCTCAATCTGTAATGATGTTGAAAGAATATGTTTGTAATAAATAAAGCTATAAGGAAAATGCTTATATTCAGTTTAAAAAAACGAGTGTGGCCATATATAACATAAAAGCATTTCGTGTTGAGGTAGGCCAATTTCCTCTAAAAATTGCACATTTTAGGAAGTTTTGATCAATTCCGACGAAATTAGACTTTAAAAAACAAAAATTTTTTGCGCGCTTCGCGCGCATTTTTTAATGTTAAAGCTTGTGCTTGTTCTCCTTTGCCTTCTAAGTTATAACACATAGTCCCAAACTTGAGAAAGAAAATTTAAGATAGATCATTTTACCTAAAAGAAGGGCCTCAATGTGTAATTATTTTGAAAGAATATGTTTGTAATAAATAAAGCCATAAGGAAAATGCTTATATTCTGTTTAAAAAAACGAGTGTGACCATATATAACATAAGAGCATTTCTTGTTGAGGTAGGCCAATTTCCTCTAAAAATTGCACATTTAGGGAGTTTTGATCAATTCCGACGAAATTATAATTAAAAACAAAAAAAAATTTTTCGCGCGCTTCGCGCGCTTTTGTTATGGTTAAAGCTTGTGCTTGTCCTCCTTTGCCTTCTAAGTTATTTAAAAACATAATAGTCCCAAACTTGAGAAAGAAAATTTAAGATAGATCGTTTTACCTAAAAGAAGGGCCTCAATGTGTAATGATGGTGAAAGAATAGGCCTATGAGCCTATGATTGTAATAAATACTAACCACGATGAAAATGCTTATATTTAGTTTCAAACACACGTGTGTGGCCTATATTAATAATAAAATAAGCCCTATGTGTATTGTTTTCTATATGGTGGGTGTGGGGGGGGGGTATCACCCAAGACCCCTGTTACACGCCTGCTTATAAGTGGGGCCCCCCCACTTTGAAAAACGTTCCGCCGGCCCTGCATATCTAAGAAGAAAATACTTTATTTGATTGGCCATTTTAACGATGGTGGATAATAGGGTGACCACTGATTAGCTCTGTTGGCTAATCTGGTGGTAGCCACTGTGTGTGCGCTGAACCGTCAAGATCTGTAGGTCCCGGTTCAATTCCCATCGCTGCTTCTCCTTGTGTTTCAGCTAGAGGGCTGAAATACAAGTTTCATAAGCGGACAAGTCTTCATAGGCTATCCTTGGTGTTTACACCGAATAAATCTAATCCAATCCACTGAAAATCAATGAACATGACCACTTACACATTGCCATCATTATCTTGCTTTTTACATTGCTTTCGTTGCTGCAGTGGACGTAGTTGATCTTGTTGTCAATACATTTTCACATTTATGTCTGATGACAATAAAATTCGGAAAGCATTGGAAGGGAAACCTTGTGAAACAATGATGTCAAGTTTCTTTGCTATTGAGAACAGCTTACCGTTCGCAAGGAGCAATGCTTTTAACATTATGAACCAGATTTTAAAGTTTGCAAAGAGGATGGTTAGGAAACTACCTTTGAAATGGCTGCTTGTTCAACAAGAAATCCAGAAGTTGAAAGTGGAACATATCTATTTACCAACCAAAGAGGTAAAGCATCTATTCAACATTCTTTAATTTTAAACTCTAAATCATACTCCCAAACATCCTGAAAAATCCAGGAATTTTTTTCTGCATAAAAGGAATTTCAGCTGTTATTTCCATTGCTTTAACCTCTGTCATTTGTATTTATAGTCTTCTACACACGTTTGAAACCATTAAACTTGGTGTTAATCGGTGCAAGCTTTTTCTTCATCAAGTGATCGCTTTAGTTGAGCGTTGTGGGGTCCAAATAGATGCCCAAATGGTGCTGCTTGAGTATTTATACGACCTTGGCGAGATTCTCTACTTTCCTGATGACGACGCCTTAAAGGACATTATGTTTAAGGTAATTAGTGCAATTTAAGTTTATTTATAATGGTAGATTATGGAATGTTATATTCGAAATTTGCCATGTCTAATTTTTTTTTAAACAATAGAAATGCAATACAGGTAATCGATACATTAATCATAATTTAAATAATGTTAGTATTACTGTAGTTTTTATTATATATTTCTTGAAATTCTGTTGAACTGTCATCTGTCTCTTAGTATAAAGGCTTCTACATATCTTAATTGCAACTTTTACACCATCATTATCATCATCATCCATCATTATTATTATCATCATCATCATCGTCTTCATTTGTACCAATCCCACCGCCATCATTATCGTCATTACCTTAATAAACAACAGTGGTGTCGAGAGCCAGTAAGGGCCCCGGGGCAACACCTCACATAGGCCCCCCCCCCTTTTCACTTGGGACCCCCACTCGGCCGCTCCCCAAATTAAGTCTCCTCCTAAGAGTTTGTTCTGAAAACAAAAGTTTTCATCCTGGCTTGGGCTCGGGCCCTATGGAGATTTTGTTCTTACCCCGAAAATTTTTCATCTTGGTCCGGACCCCCAGTAGACCCGGGGCAGTGACCCCCTGACCCCCCCTCTCGACGCCACTGAAACAACACCATCATCATTATTAAAAATAAAAATTAAATCCTGTATATAAAAGGAATACCATTTTACTATTGGAACATCAAGCACATAAAACACACACACCCCCATACAAAAACAGAACCAAAAGCACTTGAGTATCAAATATTATGTCTAATACATTATTGAAAATTGCTTATGACAGAGGCCTATGTTCGTTTTGCAGACAACAATCATCAGACGAAAAATCTTCAATGCCCCTCAGCTTACCAAGGAAGATGAACCATCGCCGATAGTATGTACGAAGGTACTGCCTTCAATGACTTGAAACACTTAAGAAATCGGTTTTTTTAAATGAATTAATCATGTCATTAACATCAATAGAGTTACGATCAGTTTTCTATTTGCTACAGGTGTTGATATTCCTCGAAACAGAACTAAAGATATTTTGTCAGAGCGGTGCAAGGGGCGTGGAATTAACAAGGTACATTGCTTGCGATTGTAGGAATGCTCATTTGCATATTGCCATGTGGAAGCAATGGAATGGAAATGACGCGCTACCGCCGACTATTTGAAGATGACGTGCAACAGCAAGGTAAATTGTGCAATTGTATACCAGATATAGCATTCGTGTCTATGCACTTTGCAGGTCAACAGAAAAGAAAAAACCAAATAAATGGTTGAAGGAAGCGGTAAAAAAAAAAAAAAACCTGCAAAAATATAGAAAAGTAAAATTGCTGATCGTCAGTTCTGAAGGTGGTGGGGGTGGGGGAATGCCATAGTGTTCCATGGTTGGGGCTGAGGTGAGAAGTTTTAAGGCACCTTTAGACGCTTGGAAATAGCACTCTCAGATGGTAAAAATACTTTTTCAAAGCAGTGTTCCTCGACAAAATTGTTGACCTTCTGCCCACGGGAGCTATGCTCCCCTTCCCTTAGACTCCCTCCTATCCTTGCAACTGGGAGACTGAGAGTTGTGATTATGGTACACCTAGATGCCCGGAAATGGCACTCATTCATACTATTTTAATAGTCTAATATTTTATCTCCAATTTTTTAAAAGTTTGACAAATGTAGGGGGTCCTGCCGGCTGGGCACCACACTCCAAATGGTATATGTCTTACAGTCGAGGTCGGAGACATATTGTGCTGTTATGTATCAACAAACCCCTTTTTGGCCCTGGGTACAATACAGCGAGGGCGCTACTGGACCATGGGTAGGGATACCAAAGGTGCCCCTAGGAATGGGTGGCCCTGCAGACCACCGCACGAGAGCGCATAGGTGTTACACCACAGATCATGGATAATGGTTGAAAACTCTGTCTTAGGTTTCTGTCTTCTGGCCTTTTTTCCATACTGATTTATGAAATTGTTGAAAAATTTGACATTGGGAATATAGCGTTGTATTCTTCGTCAATCAATAAAAAACTACAGAATGGTCGAAGACTGCATCATGGAATTGTTGGTTACTTGGAGGAATGACCAATCAAAGAGCCAACAAATACCAATCATGGTGAACACTTTGAGGCAACAGAAGCTTGTTGGACTTGCACAAAGTGTACGTGAAAGGCATGGCTACAGTGACGAGTCATAAGTTGCAACAACTCATATAAATCTGCCTGAAATTCCAACACCAATGCAAGGTACAGTAGTAAAAATCTATTTAAAAAAACTACTGCTATTCTACAAATGTATTACATTTTCGCAAATCCTGAGAAACATTGCTTTTTGTATGCCCTTTTATACAAATAAATATATTTTAGACTATTCTCCTAGACCTCTAACGGCCAACTCAAACTCAGGGTCTGTGTGAGTTAAACGCAGACCCGACGGTGTGCATCGGGTGCAGTCCCGTCGTAGAATATTAAACATGTTTAATATTTCTTACGACAGCTGAAGACTGTCCCCGACGATAAATCGGGTCGGGCTGCGTCGGCCGACGCTGTCTGGGTTGGCCTTTAGTCACTTTGCATAATCACTTGACCCTTCGAACTGATCTGATCTACAAACGTGACCCCTGTTATATCTGTCTCTTATACACATCTAGATGTGTATAAGAGACAGACAGTATATGTCCTACAGTCGATGTTGGAGACACTTCGTGTTACGGCTTACTAACAAAACAAATAAACCTATATCTGTTTAAAAAAAAAAAAACAGATTTTGACCGATTTGTTTTCAAAAACACAAAAAAATAGCTCTTCAATTATCCCTGTAAAACAATGTTAATAATAATAGTAAAAAAAAAATAAGAAGTAGTATTGGATTGATACACTCAATATATTATTATAATAGATAATATAATGTATAATTATTATATTAGACGGCCTGCTTGGTGTGTAGTATTTTCCTTACTTTTTTAGGTCTCGTAGAATCTATGTATGAGGTATATAAACAAATATTGACTACTCTAGATTCCTGGAATGGTGACATCCAGCCCCTCGGTGATGTGTGGAGACTGTAAGATATGTGTCCACATCACCTTGGGGCAATAGATTTCACCATTCCCTTCATGAGCAGTATAATAGTAATAAATATTAATAATATTTGAATACAATTATTTTTCCAGTCCAGCACTGTCAGAGAGGTTTTGTTGCTCGTATAGGCACAAGGGCTAGAAAAATGAAAAACAGACTTTTTTCCCACGACCGGCAGCACACAGACAAAGCTAACATGTTAAAACAAGGTAAATACTGTTTATTTATTTTAATAATGTATTTATATAGGCCTACTACCCCACACTGGCAAATATACAATACAATTACATTGAGATGATGCCGGTTCCAAAAAAAGGCCAACAGGTGAATAATCAAGGCACCACTGATACTGGCCAATTCCGAATTGCACAGGTAACACGAGAGAAAAAATATAAAAATAGGTCAAATTTTAAAATGTAAACTAAAATTTGAAAAATTGAACTCTATACATAATATAATAACACATTCTCAATAAGATACTTGCAAGAATTGTGCATAGTGGTCAGAAATTTAAAGTGGGTGAAATTTTGCACAGCGGCAACACGACAGCCAGCTACAAACAGTGTTTACATTGAACTTATTTCATGATAAAATAATTTTATACTTTGTTTTGCTTGAAAGTGTGAAGCTTGTTGGACTTGCACAAAGTGTGTGTGAAAGGCATGGCTACAGTGATTAGTCATAAGTTGCACCAACTCATGTAAATCTGCCTGAAATTCCAACACCAATGCAAGGTACAGTAGTAAAAATCTATTTAAAAAAAACTACTGCTATTCTACAAATGTATTACATTTTCGCACATCCTGAGAAACATTGCTTGTTGTATGCCCTTTTATACAAATAAATATATTTTAGACTATTCTCCTAGACCTCTAAAGGCCAACTCAGACTCAGGGTCTGTGTGAGTTAAATGCAGACCCGACGGTGTGCGTCGGGTGCAGTCGCGTCGTAGAATATTAAACATGTTTAATATTTCTCACGACACCTGAAGACTGTCCTCGACGATAAATCGGGTCGGGCTGCGTCGGCCGACGCTGTCTGGGTCGGTTTTTAGTCACTTTACATAATCACTTGACTCTTCGAACTGATATGATCTACAAACGTGACCCCTGTTATATAGGTGAGAACTCATTGTTCATTTTAGTGCGTCCCGAAATACTTGTGAGGAAAATTTTTGCAAGTAATTCGGGTGGGAATCGAATCTAAGACCTCCTGGTGTCATAACCATTAGACCACTATTTTTCACTTAGTATCTTTACGATTTTTAATTTGGAAAATATTTTGATGATTAAGATTTGCTGTTTATTTTATGAATATCTGTTTAAATAATACAGCACGCATTTCCTAAAAGGATTTGTTTATACAGTATTGTTATTGGAAATTTATGTGTTCTATCACAGGTTGCTTAGTTGATATTGACATGGTGTTTATCGCTAACAAACTTGATGGCAAAGATTTGACAAATTTCGGCTTCTACTTTGGTATGGAGAAACATGAAATAAATCGAATTGAGTCAGACTTTTCACCACCAATTGTAGACGCCTGTATTGAAATATTGGTACAGTTGCGAAGTAGACAGGAAGCTGAAGTAAATCATCTCAAATCAATTAGTGAAGCACTGAACAAAGTTGAACGAATAAATATAAAGAAATTGAGTTATACTACCATGAAAGATATGGAAAATTGAAGTAAAGGTGTAAAGGAACATTTTAAAGATAACAGTGCAATAAAAAATAACACCAGAATATATATTACCATGGTTACATACACCACAGTAGGCCTAACACGTTAGGACACTTTTTAATTAAGAAATTATATTTTGCTCGCCTTTCAATCATCAAAACTACCTACTTTTGATGCTGTCATTCAGGACCATAGATACACAATATACATAAAAACATTAATAGTCAGGAAGCATTTGTATTTTACTTCAATTATTTAGCCAAGTCTGATTTTTCACTTTTATTTGTTCAATGACACCACAAGGAACAATTTTCAGCTTATTGTCCAATTTGTAGATGCGTTTTTCACTCGTTGGGGGCGCTTTAACAAAAATGGCGGTTTGTAATATTGGTGCCTATATCTCGGCAACCACTGATGGTAGAAGCTTCTAAATGGTCTCAAAATGTTCACAAATTGTATGGCAGTACTGTACTGGAAAGTAGATGAAAGCGACCCCACAAACAATTTCCCCAATCAGATAGGTACACCTACTGTACTGTATTATAGCTGTCTCTTATACACATCTAGATGTGTATAAGAGACAGTACAAAATGCGTTCCGGTTAGGGTATATCCTTTACTGACTTTACTTAGATAAGGTATTTTGGTCATAAAAGTGTTATAACATTTATATTAATAATTTCTTCGGTAGGAAATATTGTTTAAAAGTTATAAAAAGTAGTATGACCAACAATCTTATGATCAGGTTGCCATTTACCAATCCAGTTAATAAAGTTCTTCAATATCATCTACCAGGGCCGGCGGAACGTTTTTGAAAGTGGGTGGGGGGGCCCACTTATAAGATGAATGGGAATATAAAATCATGCAGATCTGGAATCAAATCTAGGGGGTCCGGGGTCCTCCCTCGGGAAAATTACTAGATGGCGGGAAATGACTTTTCTCGGCTTTTGAGCTAGGTGTCGAATGACTTTGTTCTTCAAAAATCAAGGTTTTCCCCCTCTTGAAAACGGTCAGGTAAATTTTCTCATTCTTATAAATAGGCCTGATATGTGTGTAAACATACATAAAAAAATGAGTAGTTGCAGTAGGCCTACGTATTCTTTTTTCAATGAATCGATAAGCCCCAAGAAAAAAAAAGGGGGGAGGGGTTCTCCCCCGTGAACATTTTGATTCCTAGATGGCGGGAAATGAGCTTTTCCAACTTCTAAGATGTCTTAATTACTTTTAAGTTCTTCAAAATTGAAGGTTTTCCCCTCTTAAAAACGGTCAGGTAATTTTTCCCATTGCTTTTACAGTAAATAGGCCTTATGAGTGTATACATACATAAAAATATATTTAAAAAAATAGTAGTTGCATACGATTTTTTCCCCATGAATCAGCCCCCGGCCATGTCTACTAGTTCTGTTGTAAAGTCCTTTGTACAGTATTTTCACATCTATCACCACATTCACATGCATCA